ATTGAATAAATTGCATGAGTAGCTATCCTTCCTTTGACAGGTGGGAAAATTTTGTCAGTTTTTTCTGCCATTTCGTATCTCAGGTTCAGGTTTCCTGGTTTTGCCTTTTCGAACCCTCCATACGACTAAATATTCATTGTAGTTTAATAAGCTGTAAGTGCGTTATAAGAGTGATGGTCAATTCCTCAGTGTGGATGATGGGTAGTAGGATGCTGCTGACTGACTGTCTTCCTTGTGGTAGCCCTCAGTGGCACAGCGGTATGTCTGCGGACTTGCAACGCTAGAATTCGGGTTTCGATATCCGTGGTGGGCAGGGCACAGATAGCCCATTGTGTAGCTTTGTGCTTAATTACAAACAAACAAGCAGTCCTTGTGGTATGTAGTTCGAAATCTAGGACGGCGGCAGATAGTCTAAGAAGCTTTACTGTAAATATAAAACACAAATATGAACTCTCACTCCTGGAATTCATACACGTAACTTCTTAGAAGTCCATGCCGATATTCTGAAATTTTCCTATTCTAGTTTCAGGTTTCTCGTCAGTGGAAAGTTGAGATAAAACTGTAACAGGCAAATTGTTTTACATATAATATATATGTTTGTAACTTGAACTACATGTTAGTTAGCTTTAGTGGACTTCGCAACACCTATGTCTTAGACAACTTGAAAGCTTCTCACTAGGAAAACCCTCTACACTACGTATTTGTGGAATATGCGAACCGGACGTAACCGAATGGCTTAGCGTGCCCGAACTATATATCGTACGGTTCGTGGTCTGCACTTTAGGGCCATGGGTGCGCTGTATATACAAGAGTGGCGGTTAAATCAAACTATTCGATTAGAGAAGAATAGCCTAAGAATTGGCGGTGGATGCTGTCGACTAACTGTCTTCTCTCTAGCCTATAAGTTCAACATTAGGAATAGCTATGCGCAGATAGTCCTTTTTGTAACTCTTTCTGTGCGTAAATTCTAAAATAGACAAATTTTACAGTTTGAAAGCGAAAATAAGGGCCTCCACAAATATTTGTTTTGTTTTCAATTTCATTATATACTGCATCGCGAGCGTATAATTGTAAATAACTCGGGTAATTGTTGCATAAAAAAATATAAGCACTGTTGATGATGTACCTGATATTTTTAGTATAATTTTATATTTCATAGTTGTAGAAGGTAGCGCGTTCTAATAGTTACGTGTCGTTAGTTGAAAATAAAACAAGTAAGCGATTGTATGAATTCTGAAACTTTACCTAGAAGTGGCATGTAATTTTCACATTTTTCCGTGAATATAATTAAACTTTATGGTAAAGGTTACGTCAGAGTATCTTCCGCTATTATCCGCATGCTTTTCGTTATATGCCCAACACTACAGCATCAGAAAACCTGAAATTCGGCCAGAAGGTTATTACGAAATACAACAAATTGTCTAAAAATTACAATATGGTTGGACTAGATACCAATTTATTTCGCTGTATCATTCCTAAAACGGAGCAGTAAGATTCCTAAAAGTCATGTTGGTTACGTCAAAAAATTAGCCTGAAATTCTTACTTAATTTGATGTAGTAATTCCGGAGTTAAGATCACATTCCATTTATTTCACTTTATATCTTCGACATTGTTGCAACGAAAATTTGAAACTCGATCAGTAAGTCAGGATAAAACGTTAGAGGACCGGCATTGCCAGGTAGTTAGGGCGATCGACTCGCAATCTGCGGGTCGCAGGTTCGAATCCCCGTCACACCAAACATGCTCGCCCTTTCAGCCGTGGGGGCGTTATAACGTTACGGTCAATCCCACTATTCGTTGCTAAAAGAGTAGCCCAAGAGTTGGCGGTGGGTGGT